TAATGGTTATATCCTCTTGTTGGATTGGCCCCTTTATCATTATATAATGTCCTTCTTTATCTCTTGTGACTTTCTTCATTTTGAAGTCTATTTTGTCTGATACAGGTACTGCAACACCTGCTTTTTTCTCCCTGTTGTTTGCATGAAATATCTTTTTCCATCCCTTGACTTTTAGTCTGTGTATGTCTTTGGTTTTGAGGTGAGTCTCTTGTAAGCAGCATATAAATGGGTCTTGCTTTTTAATCATTCTGTTACTCTGTGTCTTTTGATTGGTGTATTCAGTCCATTTACATTTAGGGTGATTATTGAAAGATATGTACTTATTGCCATTGCAGGCTTTAGATTCATGATTACCAAAGGTTCAAGGTTAGCTTCTCTACTATCTTACTGTCTAACTTAACTCACTTATTGAGCTATTATAAACATAGTCTGTTGATTCTTTATTTCTCTCCCTTCTTATTCATCCTCCTCCATTTTTTGTATGTTAGGTGTCTTTTTATGTGTATGTGTGCTCTTTTGTGTTTCCTTTGACTACTTTTGTAGGTAGTTGATAATATTTTTTGCCTTTAGTTAGTATTTGATTGTTCTACTTACTTTGCTGTGATTTTATTTTCTCTGGTGATGTCTGTTTAGCCTTAGGAGTGCTTCCATCTAGAGCAGTCCCTCTAAAATACTCTGTAGAGGTGCTTTGTGGGAGGCAAATTCCCTCAACTTTTGCTTGTCTGGGAATTGTTTAATCCCTCCTTCATATTTAAATGATAATCGTGCTGGATACAGTATCCTTGATTCAAGGCCCTTCTGTTTCATTGCATTAAATATACCATGCCATTCTCTTCTGGCCTGTAAGGTTTCTGTTGAGAAGTCTGATGATAACCTGATGGGTTTTCCTTTGTAGGTGACCTTTTTTTCTCTCTCTGGCTGCCTTTAATACTCTGTCCTTGTCTTTGATCTTTGCCATTTTAATTATTATGTGTCTTGGTGTTGTTCTCCTTGTGTTCCTTCTGTTGGGAGTTCTGTGTGCCTCCATGATCTGAGAGGCTATTTCCTCCCCCAGTTTGGGGAAGTTTTCAGCTATTATTTCTTGAAAGACACTTTCTATCCCTTTTTCTCTCTTCTTCTTCTTCTGGTACCCCTATAATGCAGATATTGTTCTGTTTGGATTGGTCACACAGTTCTCTTAATATTCTTTCATTCCTGGAGATCCTTCTATCTATCTCTGCATCAGCTTCTCTGTGTTCCTGTTCTCTAATTTCTATTCCATTAATTGCCTCTTGCATCTTGTCCATTCTGCTTTTAAGTCCTTCCAGAAATTGTTTTATTTCTGTATTCTCTCTCCTTAGCTCTTGCATATTTCTCTGCAAGTCCATCAGCATGGTTATGACCTTTATTTTGAATTCTTTTTCAGGAAGATTGGTTAAATATATCTCCGAAGATTCCCTGTCAGGGGAGGATGTCTGGGTTATTCTGGTCTGGATCAAATTCTTCTGCCTTTTCCCGGTGATAGAGGTAGTAGTAGGCAGTTGGCGCGTGTGTCAGCTGGGAGAACCAAGTCCCTTTCCACTTACTCCTGGCCTTCCTTTCCTGGGAGAGCAGCGACCCCTAGCAGCTTGTGCTGGGCAGCTGCATGCAGACGGGGTCTCTGATTCTTGCCTGGCCTCAATGGAGTAAGCTCCGTGTGGTTGCTGTGGGCGTGGCCGCTTTCAGGCTGCTGCTCCGCTATGGTGGGCCTTGCTGGAGGGGGAACAGGCAGGAGGCTGTTTATCACTGTGAGGGGCCTCCAAGCTGCGCTGCTGCCCAGGGAGTTAGTGTGCCCTGAGTTTCCTGAGATTCCCAGCTGCTGGGCTGAATGCGCCAGGACGCTTCCATCCAGCTGTGAGGTCCCTGTCCCTTTAAGACTTTCAAAAAGCACTCGCTTTTCTTTTGTCCCAGGGGCGCTGGCTGTAGGAAGCCACTCGCAGGTGTTACTGTTCTGTTTCCCTAGTATCCAGCACACCACACACTGTATGTCTGCACTCCGGTGTGGATGGCCAGGGCTGGCTATTTAGCAGTCCTGGGCTCCCTCTCCCTACCCACTCCGACTCCTCTCCTCCCGCTGGGAGCTGGGGTGAGGTGCGCGCTCAGGTCCCGCCGGGCCATGGCTTGTATCTTACCCCCTTCATGAGGCGCTGGGTTCTCGCAGGTATAGATGTAGCCTGGCTGTTGTCCTGTATCTTCTGGTCTCTCTTTTAGGAATAGTTGTATTTGTTGTATTTTCAAAAATATATATGTTTTTGGGAGGAGATTTCCACTGTCCTACTCACACCGCCATCTTGGCTCCTCCCTCCTCTCCTACATCTTTTTATGCTCATCTTTGTACTCTGGTTTCATGGAAGAGTTTTTTTTTTTTTTACATTTAAGAGAAAATATTGAATTTTCCCCTGCTCAAAGGTAACAATTTTCTAGTAAGTGGTCTGTGGCTTTCACATTTACCATGCTTCTTCTCTCCCCTTTCTCCTTCTAGCGTCTTTGTGTAGGATTTCCACTGCTTCCTCTTTGATTATTTATCTTTGATAGAGGTGAGTTTTCAGGTGGAACAAGAAGAGCTGGGGCCCTTCTCTAAACCAGCAAGAATTTTCTTAATGGCCTGGGGTTATTATAGCCTTTCCTTTTGCCCAGCCAGTGGAAGCCGGCAGCCACAGGGATGGTCACAATGCAAAGATGCAAAGCCATTAGTATTGGCAGAGTAAGGATTTCCAAAAATTCCTTCCTCCATAAATGCAATGAAGCAATGAGGAAACTGGCAGAATTAACTTTTCCAAACTCTGGAAATTAACTAAAGGCTTAGGCAATTCAGGAAGTGCTTGTGCAAGAAAAATAGCTGAATTTCAGTAAGAACAGTGAACTTTTCAGTCTTTTTTTTGTTAGCTTTTTATTGTAAAATGCACATAACAAAATTTACCATCTTAACTTTTTTTATTGAGGTATATAAATAAAATACACCAATTTAGTGTACAGCTCAGTGAATTTTGCCCTGTGTATATACTCATGTAACTACTACCAGATCAAGATATTGAATATTCTCACTAGTTTTTTTCCTCTTCACATATTTCACCCATATACCCACCTCCCTCTCCTATGGCAACCACCTGTCTGTTCTCCATGTCCGAGTCCATTTCTGTTTTGTTTGTTCATTTGTTTTGGTTTTCAGATTTCACATATAACTGAAATCACATGGTATTTGTCATTCTCTGTCTTACTTATTTCGCTTAGCATAACACCCTCCAGGTCCATCCATGTTGTTACAAATGGCAAGATTTCACCCTTCTTATGGCTGGCTAATATTCCACTGTATATATGTACCTTGTCTTCTTTATGCATCTATTGATGTACACTTAGGTCACTTCCTATTTTTGGCTATTGTAAATAATGCTGTGATATACATCGAAGTGCATGTATTTTTTTGAAATAGTGATTTTGTTTTCTTCAGGTAAATTCCCAGAAGTGCAATTACTGGGTTGTATGGAATTTCTACTTCTGGGTTTTTGAGAAAACTCCATACTGCCTTCCATAGTGGCTGCACCAATTTACAATCTCACCAGCAGTGTACAAGGGTTCCCTTTTCTCCATGTCCTTGCCAACACTTGCTATTTCTTATCTTGCTAGTATTAGTCACTCTGACTGGTGTGAGGTGATATCTCATTGTGGTTTTGATTAGCATTTCCCTGATGATTAGTGATGTTGAGCATCTTTTCATGTGTGTGTTGGTTATATCTTCCTTGGAAAAATGTCTATTCAGGTCTTCTGCCCATTTTAAAATCAGATTATTTGTGGTTTTTTTGGTGTTGAGTTGTAGGAATTCTTTATATATTTTGGGTTTTAGTCCCTTATTGGATATATAATTTGAAAATATATTCTCCCATAGAGTAGGTTAACTTTTTGTTATGTTGATTGTGTCCTTTGCTGTGCAGAAGCTTTTTAGTTTGATCTGAACTAGCAGTGTATTGTAAAATTTTACATACACATTTTTCAAACTGTGCAAAGTCAGGTCACTATCGTATTTTTATAAAACAAAATAGAAAAGCAAAATAAAATGGTTTGCACATTGGAAGGACAAATATTTTTTTCATAGAACTTCTATTTTAGAAGAGTATGTGTGTGAATGTGTATGTGTGTGTGTACCTATGTGGGAATAAGATAAAATGTTTCTCATTGTGGTCCCTGGTCTAAAAATTTGAAAGATATTATACATAACTTCATCAGCAAATAGATCATATTTTAATCTGATGTTTAAATTTGGAACTTTCAGTGACCTGGAATTGACTAAGGTTACCTAAGGTTACTGGTTGTATGCAAATTAGCCCCAGAGGGGGTCAGTTAATTTGCTCCTAGCACTAATGTCCACACCCTGGACACTAATCTGTGCAGATTGCTAGGGATTCCCCAGGCTGGAGGCTATTTCCTGGCCAAGCTACAGCCCCTTCCCCATCAGAGTTCCTTCTGCCCCTCTGGCACCTCAAGCCCTAGCCCTACTTCTGGGATGGGGTGGGGGGTGGTAAGGGAAGGAAAGCAATGGCTCCTCCCCCAACCTTGACTGTTTCTCACAGGTGAGGATGAATTCCACCACACCTGTGACATTTCAGCCCATGAGGAGACCACTGCTCATAGGAAGGACACCTCACTGGCATGGAAAGAATCTCAGCTTTCCTGGGTATCCTTATTGTGTTGTTCATTTTTAGCTTCCCAGCTTGGTTTATTATGAACCTGGATCACTTGGACAACTTGTGCCCCTACTACCTCCCCTGCGTGCATCCTTCCCCCCTACTTCCCAGTTTAGACCCTTAGGGTGAAGGAGAAAGACGGAGAGAAGTTGATTGACCCAACCTTTGACCTTCACCCCTGAGGGATACAGCTTTTAATGGGGGCCCATCTCATGGATCCTAAGTCAAGCCATGGATTGGCCACCATTGGTCCACTCAGTTGTGTGGAAAGGTGTTACCTGGTAAAAACACATAGGCTTTCTTATCACGGGCTGGGGCCTGGGCCATTTCCCTTGGGTCAGTCTGTCTTGTCTAAAGATCTAAAACTCTTGAAATTATAGAATCATAGGGTTGGGAGGATGTAAAGTCATTTGCTCCAACCCCCTGGGATGCTGGAATCATCTCTACAAGTGACATCCTTCCCAAGTGCTCTTCTAGCTCAGTGCTACTCAAACTTGAGCTGGCATAGAAATCACCTAGAGAACTTGTTAAAGTGGTTTCCTGAGCTGTAACCCCGGAGACTTTGCTGTAGTAGATCTGGGCTGGCGTCTGAGATTGTGCCTTTTTAACAAGCTCCTGGGTACTGCTGATCCGTGGATCGCACTTGGTGTGGTCTTCCCTAGCCTATTCTACGGCATGTTTGGTCGGGGCACCCTTGCTGCCCTCAGCCATTCCTGGAGGCTTTGTGGAATCCATACTCTGTCTCATACCTTATCTCTGTTCCTACCCTCTGCCAAGCTCTGGGCACCCAGGGGGCCACTGACTACTCCCAGCTGTGATCCGTACACTTGATATCTATCTTCTTTGATCCCCAGGGCTATGATCAGCAGATGGGCTCTGGCAAGGACCCGGGGGCCATCTGCTATGCCTCACTTGCCCCCCTGAAGTACTTTGGCTCTGAAGACTCCATCTATGTCAACTGCCCCAATCGGAAGCCCAAGCCTGAACCCCCTCTGGCCGTGGAATATGCCAGCATTGCTGGAAGCAGACCCCAGCCCTCCAAGTCGGCCGCCCTCAAAGCGGAGCCCAGGATCTGAGGGCGGAATTCACTGGGCGGTGAGCACTTACCAAACGCCTACAGGGCACAGGGCGGCTCTACCAGCAAAGGGCTGACTGCAGTGTGGCAACAGTCGCAAACCAGCAAGGGCTCGTGCGTCCCTGAGGAGAGGGGCGGAAAGGGCAGCCAAGGAAAGGAGAGCCTTACTGATTCAGAGGGGAGAAGCTTTGAGTCTGAGGGCTGCCACGGGCAGGCTGTGGGGACCCTACAAGGGGTTTCTGGACCCTTCCTCAGGGTCTGGGAGGAAAGCCAAGGGGCCAGAGCCCACCAAGGTAGGGTCTGGGGCCCAGTGCCTCTGATTAACCCAATCTTCATCTCTCTGTGACCCTCCCTTCCTTCCTGTCCAGGGCTGTGAAATCCTGACAGATTGTGCAAGTTCCTCTGGTGGTGACTCTCTCTGCCTGAGAGCCTTCTCCCTTCACTGTCCTCTCAGAGCCTCTAAGCCAGGCAGAGAAAGGCTGTCTCCCCACTCCGCTCCTCCTCTCCTTACAGCCCCCCAGTGCTAACTGATTCTCACAGATGACCCTGCCAGGACATGGATGGGGGTTTCCCCTGACCTTTGGCCTCGCCAGGCAGGGCGGCGGGGTGATTGCTTCCCTGTGGGAGCACAGCTCCGTCCTGAGCTCCTCCACCTTCCATGGAAACCATGACCCACTCTGCGAACTGAGTCTCGGTCAGACGCAGTGGGCTGAGGGGCACCTCCTGCTCTGCTGAAGTACACTTTCATGGGGCCCTTCTGGAGACAGGGCCCCTTTCTGTTCTGTGCCCCAAGGGGTGTCTGAGCTCTGGGAACTCTGGACTGTTGTGGGCAGACGGGTGGTGTCCTGCCACATCATGGGGAAGATGGCTCAGAACTGCAGATTCATCACTTCTCAAGAGTGGCATTAAAGGTCGTTGAATCCAACGGGCAGTGGGGTGCCAGAACCGCCCTGTAAAATCCCAGTGAGTCATGCAGTCTCTGCTCTCATCTCTCCCGAGGACAGAGAACTCACTGCCTCCTACTCAAGCAGCTCATTTGTGAATATTTTTGTCAGACAGGACATTGCTTTCTCTCAGTCACAATGAGACATCAGCTTTGTCCATAGGATGGGACCGGAGGGTCAGGCTGCAGCATGGCCCGAAAGGAAGTGAGGGGTCAGAGAGGAGAAGGGTGGGCAGGCTGGGGTCTGGCAGGCCTCTGTTTTAGGATGAGGTCTTCCTCTGGGAGGAGGGAGAGGTAAGCACTTGTCACTTGTGACATCTCTGCTGTCATCATCTACTTCCCAGGTTCCCAAGGTCGAGAATGTGGTGTGTCCCCAGTCTGGAGCTGCATGGGGACACCCAGGAACAACCCCCTGGATTGGGGTGGGGAGCGGTAGCAGGGGCAGAGCAGGATGCTCTGAGCTTCATCTTTGTGCCTCAGGTCTCTGCCCCGTCCTCCTGCCTGAGTCCTCCTGCAACCTGGATCTGATTGCTACTGGCTGGGCAATTGCTGCACCCTGGCCTCCCATCCAACAGGACCTTGCTCTAAGGTCATTGGCACTGAACTACTGCATCATTTGACTGCTGGTGCTTTGTAATTCTAGGCTCCTGACAGAATCTTTTAGGGTTCCTGGACCCAATTCCATGTGTGGAGTTGGGTTGCACAGGTTCCCCACACAGGACACCAAGCAATTCTCCAGCACCAGCAGGGTGTCTGAGACTGCAACTCAGTTCTGACCCTACCTGCCTGGAGACAGCACCAGATTCCCCAGGTGAAGGGCTCTGTTCTTGCCCGTCACAAGCCCCAGGCTGTTACCTGTGCTTCTGACCAACCAGCTACAGATTGGAGGTTCCCACGACCTCCCACTAGGTTCTATTACTTTGCTAGAGCTGCTCACATAACTCAGGAAGACACTTATGTTTACCTGTTTAACAAAGGATACTGTAAAGGATACAAATTAACAGCCAGAGGAAGAGCTATATAGGGCAAGAGCCCAATTAAAGGAGCCTCTATGCTCATGGAGCTTGGGGCCTGGCTCAGTAGCACTTGGAAACGTTCTGTTTCCCCAAGGGTGGGAGCTCTCTGATAAGGAAACAGGGTAAGAAAGGGCCAAAACGCTGTTCTCATGGGTTTTCATGAGGGCTTCATTGCATAGCTATGATGGACTAAGTCACTGACCACAGGCTGGCCCAACCTCCAGCCCCTCTTCCTTCTTCGCTCCCTGGAGGCTGGGGCCTGGGGGCTGCGAGGTCCCTCCCTCTAATCACATGGCTGGTCCCCCTGGTAACCAGCCCTGCCCTTGGGTGGGCTCCAAAGGTCAGCTTCATCAATAACAAGACACCCATTGCACCTTTGTGGCTCTGAAGTATTTTCAGGAACTGAGCCTGAAGACCAGATATCTAAGAAATATATTTCTGTCATCTGAATCACCAAATATATATTTCTTACCAATCATTATATTGCCTCTGCGTTGGTCTTCATTTCAATCTACATACCCACTGGGGGAGCCCTTCTTCACCATGTTCTTCCCAGCCTGGGTTTCCTGCCTGCATTGCTCTGGCTGTAGCACCAGGAGCCACCCCAGGGGTCAGGTGCCTCATGAGCTGTCAAAACCCAAAGGATTTCCTCAGACTAGAGCTCCTGGAGCCATGTTTATTAGAGAAGTACTTCTGGGTGCCTGCTGACTGGTAAGCACTGCTCAGGGTTGGCGATACAGAGATTAATTCCAGTAAGCCAATATTTATGGAATGCCTTTCAGGGGCCACATTTATCTACATATATTAATGGTTCAAACATCCTTATAAGGTAAGTACTTTCTCTTCATTTTACAGATGGGGAAATTGAGGCACAGAGAGCTTAAGAAATTTCCCAGAGTCACACAGCTAATCAGTGGTGGATCCCGGCCCCTGATATTGTAGCCACAGTGCTTCTGGTCACTGTTGCTTTAAGGATCTCCATGTGTGTGCACACACATGCACATGCATGGTGGGTACATGTATGCAGAAGTGACAATACAAAGCACTCATGGCTACAGTTACAGGAATGTTAATGGTGCTTGGGGACGGTGGGAGGCATGACTTTTTCTGGTAGAAGCCTCCAGAAGCCAAGAGGAGATAGTTCGAGTTTGGCTGACTTAGCTGGGGGTTCAGGGGGCAACTTTGCAATTAACCACTGGTCCCAGGTAAGAGGACTTAGGCTCCTTCGGCCCACCCTGGCCCAGGGAGAGGTCTGGCCCTTCTGGTACCACCAAAGGCCTGAACACACCTTCCAAAGCTGTGACCTCAGGAATGCACATCTTTTTTCATATCTCAGCACTGAGGCAAACATGGCCAAGCCACCCCAAGATGCAGGTCCCACAGGAGGTGGTACAACTCCTTGACCCTTGGTACATAAGCAGGCTTAGGCCCGTTGTGTATATATGAGTTCCCCACCATTTGAGCCTCATCCTTCTCCCTGAGGGTCTGCCCACCCAATACCAAGTGGGTCCTCCCTTCATTTTGCACCCCCACCCCAGGATCTTTATGCACATGACATCATATGTAAGATTGCATTCATCAACTTGTCTATTTTATCTTTTGGTCATTGTTTTAAGTCACTAAGGTTTGGGATGGTGTGTTACGTAGCACTAAAACAAAACAAATAGTCAAGACAAATTTGAAGAACAAGTTCAGGAACCAAGACTTACTGTGAAGTTGCAACGATCACAATGCCGCCCTGGAATAGAAAATTGGCAAGGGCAACAGAATGGAGAGGTGAGAAACAGACCCGTGTATATTTGGAAACTTGATATTTACCAGAGCAGGCGTTATGAATCGGGGGGAGAGGGGAGAGTATGGATTAGTGCTGGCACAAATGTCCATCCATACGGGGGACAAAGGAGATTAGAGTCCTATCTCATGTCTTACATAAAAATAAATTCCACATGGGTTATAAACCTAAAGTTCATTAGTAATCAAAGAAATTCTAATTTTAACTACATTTATACCTAGTGTAGGGGAAAATATATGTAATATATATGTGCATATATATAAATGTATATATTCATAGATAACCTTATATTTTCTAATTCTGAGAGTCCATGATAATCACAGAAAAAAAATTTCTGATCACAGAACTAAATCACCAAAAATTTCTTATCATAGAACTAGATCACCAAATGCATTTTTCTCTGTAAAAATGCATCTAAAACCACCAGGTATGTGGTGTTACCAGATTTTTGTTACATGAAAGGTTTATGCCACATAGATAGAAGAACAGAAAAATACTTAAACATGGCACTTTATATAAACTTTAGTGTTAAGTTCACTATAAAATTCTATCTAACGCAATACAAAGATAACATAAGCTTTTAACTTCCTAGATCTGAACCACTTTTCCCTCTTTTTCTTCGTTTTTTTTTCACTTTTAAAAACAGCAAAATATTATTTGACAAAGCTAGATGATAAGTACAAGTATTCGTTATATTAGTCCTTATATGCTTCTGTGTGCTTAAAATATTTCTTAATTTGCAAAAAATAGCTATTGCAAAAGTCCAAGCAAAAACTGCTGCAGACCATAGCCCAGGGAGCTGGCCTCTGAGGAAGAGGGAGTGGCACTGAGGAGAGGGCTCAGGGCTGGTGCCGTCCAGCTTGGGGAGAGGGTTAAGGCCCTGAGGGCAGCAGAGGAGTGGGGATGGACATGGGGGAAAGAGAAAGGTGGGTGGCAGTTCTCTGCCCGGTATAGAAGATGGTGCGGTGGGGAGGAATTGAAGAACACACAGGATGTGTGGCCAGGCTGACTCGGAGAAGCCTGGTGGCCAGTGAGAGGGAAGGTGAAAGATAAGTTAGAAGAGAGAGCCAGTTTAGGGAGGAAGATAATGAGTTTAGGTTTAGAAGGATTTAGAAGTGTACAACTGAAGGACAGCTAAGCTTAAGCAGTTGAAGACGAGCATCTGTAGCTCAAAGGAGAGATCAGGACTTAGGGTCACTTGCTGACCCAGAAGAAAATGCCAAGAAGGTTCTGACTCTTAGAAGATACTTTTCTTTACATGATGAGGGAAAGATGAGGATTCAGAGAAGCCACTGGAGAGGTAGAAGAAATGCCAATATTCCACAGTGCATCAGTCAGGGAGAGCTAGCTGCTGTAACAAAAAAGCCCAATACGAGTTCATTTCTCCCTCCTGAAGGCTGGTGAGGAAGCTCTGCTCCACACGGTCAACCAGGGATGTAGGTTCCTTCTAACTAGTGGCTCTATTATCTTCTACAGCGTCAGAGGCCTCCACTGGATCTACACCTGGGCAGCAAATGAGGAGAGAGAACATTGAAGGTGGCACAAGAGGTCAGGTCTGGAAGGGGCAAACTTCATTTCTTCTAGAACCCAGTCACTTGGCTGCCTCTGATTGCAAGACAGGCTGGACAACATAGTCTAGCTCTGTTCTTAGGAGGAAGCAGCAGTTAGGTGAATAACTACTTAGTTTATTCCAAGAGTCAAGACATGGTGAAATGAAAGTTCTTAATGAATATTCTAAATCCTAGGGCAGCTTCCTTAGGGTTCAGAAATTTGGCCCATCTTCTCTTTCCTAACTGCTACTGCCTTTTCTCCTGAATGAGCTTCTTTCTCCCCAAAATCCTTACTGGATTTCTCAAAACAAGCTCCTTCATCCAGCTGTCATAACATGGAACCAGTGTGCAAGCTGGACTGTATGACTTTCCCGTCTTTCAGTTTCATTTGAGGACATCCAGGCTGACACCAACAAAATGCCTTTAAAAGAATCTGACATTGTACTCTCAAGAAGACAGCAAGAGCACATTTTCAAAGTCCACATTTATCTTTCTGTCAATACCTGGCAGCTGCCTTCTCACTGACGTCCCCTTCAGCTCTCCCTTGACCCAGTTCTCCGTGGCTTTAGTCTTTAGCCCACCCCCTGGTGGTCATTAGTGTCTCCACTGCATAAATTGTGTCTTCTCTGCCAAAAACGTAGAAATCAACAAGTTGGGCCTGAAGTACGTGAAAGTACGGATCCTCCATATCTCTCTGGTCCCTGATATTTTAGGTCTTGTCCTTTAGCAGTTGAGATGTTTGTGGGGATGGTTTAGAGATGTGGGGGTGGGAGGCTGACGGAAGTGGGGTTCTGCTACATGACAGTAGCTTGAACACAAAAGTAAGCTGAAGCCTACTGCAATGATGGATGTATTTAGATTTGCTCCACAAACCATGAGTGTTTGAAGAGACATTAATAAATGTCATGTGAAAATAATCCATGCTGGTAATAGAGTTTTTGCAAATTTTCATGTTTGAAACTGGTAGAAGCTCAATATCCATGAATAAGAGGCTGATGAAATACATCCTGGTATACCCGCATGAACAAACATTACAAGGAGTGAAGTTAAGCTGTATCTGTGGATATAGAAAGATGTTCTGGATATATTAGATGAAAGAATGCGAGCTATGAAACTCTATCCAGCATGAGCTCATTTGTGTTTGTGTCTGTGTGTGACCATATTAGAAAGACTAGATGAACACACATCAAAATGATCAGAGGGATTCTCTTGGGAGCAATGGGATTAGAGGAGCGGAGGGGAAGTCCACTCAATAAAATTAATCAGACTGGCCCTGGAGCCAGACTGCGTGGATCTACGTTTATTTCCATCTTGTACGAGCTGTATGATCTCAGGCAAGTTATTTACCTCTGGATCTCAGTTCCCCAGAACAATAATATTACCTCCCTCATAGGTAGTGACATAACACATGTAAAGTGCTTGGGACAATGCCTGGCATATAGTAAGCACTCCACAAACGCTAGTGTGTGTGAGGGGTGGAATTATGGACAACTTATACCTTTTTAGAGTGAATTTTTATGTATTTTTCACAAAAAATTGATAGACTATAGTTTTTAAAGATTTTAAAACACACTTTATACAGTTATTCTTGTAGTAGACATAATCTCCCTTAAAGTTGTGTTCCACTCAACAAAAAGCTACAAACACCAAATTATAAAATAGATCAGTCATGGCGATCAAAGTACAGCATAGGAAATATAGTAATAATATTGTAACTTATTTCTATGTTGACAGATGGCAACTACCATTATCGTGATGAGCATTTAGTAATGTATGTAATTGTTAAATTACTATGTGGTACACCTGAAATCAATATCATATTGTATATTCAATTAAAAATACATGTGCATGTGCTGGGACTGGATTAGGTCAAGGGCAGGCAGACAGCAGTCCAGTCTGGCAGCAGCTGGTGGCGCAGGCGTGGAGATGCAGGGTGGTGGGCCCAAGATCTGGGTGAGAATGGATTGCCCCTTGTGCTCTGGGTCTAGCACTCAGGCCAGGGCATTGCATGGAAGCACTGCCACCATGTGGGGTTCCCTTGGTGCTAGCGTTGGGAATCAGCCCCTCCCCTGGAGGAACCATGTTCTTTCTTTTTCAGAAAGGCTGCAGTTCTCTAATAAACCCCTTTCATTTTTAAAGCATTTACTTCTGGTCATGGCAAGACCAGTCTTCAGTTGGCAGATCTCTGTGGTCAAAGCTGGGACACTGCCACCCAAGGGTGCCTCTCTGGCTGAGATGGCCAAATATGTCCCAAACTCGTTCTGATGCTCCTTCGAGATCCTCTCTTCACTCCCCATGCCCAGGAATTGATCTTCTAAAATCCAGCCGCTACAGATTTATAATATCAACGTCACTTCCAGAGCTTCCTTTGTTTATTGCACCTTCCTAGAACCTAGTATGGTGCCTGGCCCATGGCAGGTGTTTGAAAAACACTTTTAGAATGAATGAATGTGCGCCTGGGAAGAGTGCTCCGGGCTCTCCCATTCCCTCTGTCAGAGTGAAAGGGATGCCAAGAAGGAGGGGATGTACTGGCCAGGTTCCTTCCAGGAAGAC